AATTTGAGTTGTTAAAGAATTCAATTTCAACTTACACTAAAATTAAGTTGATCCTAATTCTTTTATCGAGTATATTTAAGTCACTCTAATATATAAAGTTTATTATAACGCAGCGCATCGAAATTAATTAAATTAAAAGTATCACATAAATTTTTTACTGTTATAGATACTAACTACTACCACAAAGCAATTCAGTTTCTTTTTCTTAAACGCTTATAAGCGTTGAAAGAATACTATCCAATTTAGAAAACTTGTTAGAACTTAGAACTCAGAACACAAGTGAGGTTTTGGTCAAACTAAATAAGTTATACAGTATCATAGGGTTTGGTGGTGTTTTAGGATCATGTATAGCAAATATAATTTTATAATTTCTTACGGGATTTTCCGTCTTGTCGGGCTAATCCGTGTCGATCTGTTTATATGTTTCAAATGCCGATTGGCCCAATATCACGTGAGCGGAACCCAAGACATTTTGTCTCCATTGTAAGTCAAGACAGTTATATACCTTATGCTCTAACAAAAGCCCTTCCTTCACTTTCCTCAACGTTACAATGGTTAGACACCCTAAGAAGCGGCCCGACTAATGCATCATTTGTGAACATATACGATCTCAATAGAGCTGTATCTACTAGTTCTGCAATTTCCGAGATGCGGTTGTATTCCCATTAACATTAGATGACCCTGATAGAATATCACTTCTCATTTTTGGTTTAGAATTCAATATCTTTTGTCGTCGGTCTGTCAAAAATCTTATCAACGCTGATACAGCGTCTTCAAGCAACTTTCTTTCTGTTATCAAGCATAGAATATGGAAGAATTACGTAAAGTTAATATAGAGAAATGTATAAAGTTCATAGTAACATCTAAATAAAATATGGTATACCGAGAAAAACTTTTTAATTTTGCTCGTTCAGGAGTTCTTCACTTTCAGAAATTTTTTTCATTTTGATCAGAACTCACGGTAGTTAATCCATTTTCGTGATTAGTTTCGGATTTTTCCAAGTTTTGTTGGTGTAACGCGCCTGAATGAAGCGTTCCTGATATTGATGGAGGATACAAAGAAATGACTTCAGCAGGGTCAGTTTCAAGTTCTTGAAAAATAGTAATAGCTTCGTCGAATTTTTGTTGTTGAAAAAGATTGTGTGCAAGAAGGGTTCGTATTTGTCGAAGTTTTGCTTTCTGCCATAATAATGAATTAGTTATAATTAATTAATACAGGTTAACCTCGTTAATATCAACCTATTTGAATTGGTTTTAAATCATGTTGTTAGTGATATTAATGAGAAATCATATTTATAAAAATTTATAAAAAAATTGTCTTGTGGTTTAGGTTGATATTAACGGGGATCACCTGTATATAATTTACAGAACATATCGTTTTTACCTTGTCTTGAAGCAGGATTGACTCAATTTGTTCAGTTAAACTTATAGCCTCTTATTGATGTTGATCGATTAATTGATCTATCTAATTAGTGACATGATCATGTAGGCGACTTCACCACCT